ATATATATGTTGTGTGTGTGTGATCATTGCTTTATCAAATCAATGGAATTTGACTAATCATATTACTTAATCTTGAGGGTTATTCAACTCAAGTCCTATAATGTGTTTATGGCTGTGATTGTAAATGTTTCTGTTATGTTTATCTATAACCTCTGAGCAATTCTGAATCATCCAGTGAGTTACTCGATTTTGCCAAATTATAACTCAGATAAGCTAGAAATAGTATGGCTCCTGCTTACAAGTTTCATTCATGGATATTCAATGCACTTAAATTGAATGCCAAAAAATTCATGATTTGATCGAATGTGTTAGTTTGTTCAATTGGTTTAAGAGAAATCGTTTAGGCATGGGTTAATGCCTGCTTCAAGATTTGGCATGGTTGTGGTAGTCTAGTCATCTTTGTGATGTGTTGGAAGTGATTGCCACCCTCAAAACTTCTTTTTAATAAATGGCAAATATATTTGTATTCAGGATAGATTTTGTTTTAGGAGGAAAGTGTGGAAAATGATGATGGATGTGCTGCTAGAGCTTGAGTTTTTATTTTCTAACTTGCATCCCATAGGGGAAGGAAGAAGGTTAGAATGAAGTACTTTTTTTGTTTCAGTTGGAGAGAAGGCTTAGACTTGATTAATCAGTCTCCCCTGGGGGCCTTCCCATATCTTTTTTAGGTCTCCTATACCTAAGGAAAAAAGAATTTAAAAATTACATCTCGTACCGTACTGTGTCTGTTCACGGTGTCTTGATGAGAAGATCATGCCATGGGTGTCAGGTGACACTTTAAATAAGAATGAATGTTTGTCCTTGTAAGTAATGATGATCTTCTCCGGTTTATCCCAAATTGATTCGACCATTTTGGCAGGTGGGCTCAGTTCGTAAGAATGACCTAATTTTCTGATATGGGCTTTGGAGACTACAAGGCCTGTCTATTCTTATGCCATGCCCATGTAGAAACTTTACTTAAGTACGTATGGTTGTATCTGATTATAAAGTCAAAATACCATTTCAATTAAATCTTATCGTTTACATGGTCTTACTCTTTTTAAGCAATCTTCTTCATACCATAACACTGAATTAGCTGCTTTAAACAACCTTTAAATTGATAGGAGAGCTAACTAATTGCACAACGTTCCTTAAGTACGCCAAAAAATCACAAAATTTAACATCTTTAGCTCATTCATCAAATGATAAACTCATTTATCAATATGATAAATTTCATCTGTGTATTTTTTGATCGAGTGATTTGTCTGCTAACATTATTGATGTTGTTTATACAATATTTAATCATAATGAACTAAAATGAATCACTCTCTATTTAGCTTTTGCATTCATAGACATATTTGGATCAAATTGCTTGCCTTTCCCAAGACGAATAGTTTGCAATTGGTCTCACCACACACTTGCTCTCCATTTAGGATTGTAGGTTATCAATTGGCTTGCTTGTATCAAATTTTCCAAGTAATCAAGAAAATTTTCTATAAATTTCAAGCATTTTTTTTTGCACATGTTTATTGAAATAGAGAATGCCATACTTGAGTTTGAATTCTTGAGGACGTAGCATTAAAAAATGACTATTTGACCAAACTTCGATTCATTAGAGTTTATGACTGTACTTCATCATCTGTTTTTCACTCACACTCTCTCACTCTCTCTCTCTATCTCGTTGTCTCTCTCTCATCTTAAGTAGCACTAAGGGGATATATATGAATATGTGCTCATTAAATCTTTCAACGACGCCTCTTGTGAATCATCAATGTTGAGTCCTTTCTATAGAGAAATTGGTTGGGAATCTCTATGGAGTAGATGGGAATCTTTAATCAATTGTAAATGATTCTATAGGTTGTCAGCAATTTCACCCCCCAAATGACAAGGATTGTTATGATGTCTTTGGGAGGGCCATTGATTTGTTGCTCTTGGTGAATAAAATTAGTTTCAATGGCCTACATGATCTGAACTTTGTCTTTGTGTTAATGACTTATCCATGTTGTTAGCCATCTCTTTGGAATGCCTTGCTTTGATACCATCTTATGTAGATAAGAAATCAAAAGGAAAAAAAAAAGTATGAATTGAGAAATAAGTGTTTGTTCTCCATGGAGCTAATAAATCAAAGCTTTTTGAGAATAACAAGATAATAGCAAAACTATGTGCCATCTTCGTTCACACATCGAGTATTTGGGGAATACAACAAAACCCTTGACACCTTATAACCAATGAAAGGAATAAAGAAAACATAATATATTATGTTTTGTAACTATTAAAAATCACAAATTATGTAAATAAAATTATATATATTCATACTAGTAATAAAATTAGAGTGAAGTTTAGGCTTAGGCTTAGGACGGTAGGTTGTTGTATCAATTAAAAAGTTGTCTATGTTTATTAAGTAAATGACCAATTCTTAAGTGACTTATAAAAGACATAATGTTTAAGCATTTAATCTTTAACTTAGTTATTTTTAGTGAGTAGAGCTAACATAGTGAGCAAGATAAAACAATGGCAATTACTCATGCATGACTAGATGGATCAAATCCAATGAGGCGTGAGATGTAAGACTTGATCGTGAGTTGAACTTAATTGGGCAAGCTGGATCAAATAGAACTTGCATGGCTCAGAGATAGTAATCAACTTCATTACTTCATTACTCAAGTAAACATAATCCAAATGGTCATCTTAGGCTTTTATTTATAGGACACATTGTGAGTCTTCTCAAATGATTTCTCGTCAGAGGCTTAAAGACAAACATATGAGCGTTTATCTACATAAATACCTATAATAATAGTAAGAAAGTAATGGCTGACAATCTCGATCATCTCAAAATGATTTGAATTAGTGCTCTAAAAATTGGGCAATGCATGAGCAATCATAGGACATATAATGTTTTCAAATTAGTCCGAAACACTTTTGAAGCATTTAAGTCATTAGAGATGAAATAAACATATTGACATAATTAACACCGACATAATTGTAATATTTGATCTGCTATGCTAAAGTATAGAAGGTCAATGCCTTTATCACAATCTCCTATTAATGGAAAAATAAATGAATGTTATTCATGAACTTGCTATAAATTATTTTAAGTTTGTTTAATATTTAAATAAATGTATTTTTATTTTAAGAGAAGAAAATTTCATATCTCATTTAGCACGAGGAGTGCTGAAAGAAGTTTAAAAATACAACTATAATTTTTATTATATTGTCAAAAGAAAAAAACAAAATTAAGTTTTTAAAAATAGAGTAAAATTCTATAGTTTTAATCAAAATTAATATTATTATACCAAGAAAACAAATTAAACATCCATTAATTTAAAAATAATAAAAAAGCTCCAAATTAAATAGACTAAAAAGAAGGAAAAAAAAAAAGGAGGATGATGTCTTGTTTTCTCTCTCTTCTTCCGTCAGCTCTTGCATCGCGTTCATTCTGCTTTCCTCTCTTCTCCGGAGAACGGTATCCGCTTGATCTGAGTCTAGGGTTTTCATCTCAGCTCCGAGATCCCAAATCTCTATTCCCTTATGCATCTACTGTTTCTCTTGTTGCTCTCTTGCTTCAGATCTATCTGGAGCGCGGGGGGATCTAGTGCTGCGGAAGATTGAAGCACCGGCGTCGGATCGATCCGCCGTGCGGGTGTGGGTTGGATGAAATGGGGTCGACTATGCGCGGCCTCTCCGTGTTTATCAGCGACATCCGTAACTGTCAGAACAAGGAGCTGGAACGCTTACGAGTCGACAAGGAGCTCGGTCACATTCGAACCCGCTTCAAGAACGAAAAGGTCGCTTCCTCTACCCATTACATACAAAGTTTCTCTTGCATAAAGCAACAATTCCTACCGGAAATGTTAATCATTTATTCTTGATTTGTATATTCAGTAGAATTTGTCGTGTTTGAGCTGATCTCTTAAGTTTAGAAGGTAGCATGCCTGTTGTGATGCATCGGGAGTTGAATGTGTTTGAAATTTCTACACACTATTTTGAAGTATATTGCAGCATCAACCGGAACATAACTTCGTTCTAGGGAATGACATTTCAAAATCAATGGCTATGCTGTTTCCGTTTGAGATGATTTTTAGTGCCTCTTCTTTGATATAGAATCAGGATGATTAACAAATCATGTTATAATATGACTCTTAATTATGGTAATGACATACTTGTGATTTCCTTGTGAGCTTCTGTGGTCTACTTGGGGGGCTTCATCTATTTATAAATGGATAAGGGAGAGGCTTGTAGGAGGAGGAGGAATAAGACTACAAGGAAGAAGATAGGCTTGTAGGGAGAGGAATCTACTACAAGGGAAGAAGATAGGCTTGTAGAAGGGAGAGACCACTACAAGGAGGAAGATAGAAAGAAGACCAAGAAGACCAAGAAGAGGAAGGAAATTTGTCCAAGAAGAAGAAGAAAGGGAGAGGCTTCAAGAATTGAGGGAGGAGTCTTTGATCTTGTATCGATGTAGTTTTGAGGGTGAGAGATCAAGAGGATTGGTCATTCCTCAATGTAAAAGGAAGCTTTGTAATTCTTCTTTGTTTTAGTGGATTGATAGTTGATTCCCTCCGTGGATATAGGTCTATGGATCGAACCACGTAATTGTTGTGTTATTGTGTTTGTGTCCTTGTCGCATTTTCTTCCCGCAGTTTTCTTTTCCCTGTTTCTCCCCTCCTCTTTCGGCAGCCCAGGTTCTTGAAGAGAAAGAGTAACAAGATCGCAACCTGCAGGCAGGTGTTCGTTTTTTGGAGGCTCTGCAAGAACTGAAAGGCTGTCCAGTTCTTTAAAGCTTTGCAGGTTCTTGGTGTTCTTGGTGATCAAGAGCTGCAAAAGTTCTTTGGAAATTTCTCTTGGTGTTTGGTGGGGCAAAAATTTACAACAAATCAAATATCTAAAACTGCACGGTGAAATGCATTCCTCCAGTGAAGTATCTCTTCGTTCTGCCTTAGTTCGTTGTTGTCCTTCTTTTCCTTTTCATTTTATCTATTGATTTTTTTTTCTTTTTGAATCTATCTTTTCCATTATTTTCTGCGGATGAATTTTCAACTTTTGGTCATTTGGAAATGCTAAGAACTTTTTTAAAGAATTATTAGGAAATGTTGGGCATGATAAAAAAGTTTTGGCATGGAAGCAGTGAAGTAGAGCGTCTAAGTGGAAGTTTTGGGGAATGGGAAGATATATTTATTTGAAATGGAATTGTTATGCGAAAGATGTTAAATGATGCGCTACAAGATTTTTGACTGTAAGAATGTTGTGCCATACTTCCTGCACCAAACTACCCGAAGCAGTGAAAGAAGAAAAGCTTATATGAATAAAAAAACCAAAAAAACAACCATATCAAACATTTATAATTTAGATGTCATTTTATAGGTGGCTTTGAATTAATTTGATGATAAAATTGATGATGACTCTCACAGCATACAAAAATCATAAATAAATTGTTTTGTTTTCATAAGTGATTTCTATAGGCATCAATTATCAGGCATGTAAGGCTTTGGTTTTAGTCCTAAATTAGATGGCTAAAACTATATCGGTGTAGAAATATTAACTAGTTACTGGGTATATAGATCAACTTTAATTTTTCTTTTTATTCAAGCTTCTTAACAAGTGGTGTCAAAGCTAATAATTTATTAAGATTAAGTAATTCATGCTTTTTTTTGTTCTCATTGGCTTGGCTGGTTTCTGTCATAATTGTGCAAGGTTCAAGGGTGAGCAACTCCCATGATGCTCCCATGTGGTTGAGTAGACTTTTGGTGCATTATAGTTGATGATGTTGACAAATTTACATTTAGGGAGAGTAATTTACATTTAGGGAGAGCGATAGTTATATGAAGAACTCTCACATTATGTGGAGATTATTAACACTCAAGAGGTTTTAGTTTTACTCCTATGTTGAATAGTTGAAAAAGGGCTAGTTTAGAAATACCTACTAGTTGTTTTGCACCCACGGGCTTGAAGTTTGAATTGAAAACGACATTGCCCATTGGTGTAGTTAGTCTAATTTTGATTCTCTTAGATTCATCTTCCCCAATTATGAACAACATACTCTTTGAATTTATGCTTGTAGTGGCAGGAGCTAAGCCGATGTGAATTTGGCATATTTAAGGTCAATTTTGGTTTGCTACCGATAGGAGTAGGCCATGTGTGGTTTGGCAGGTGGTTAGCTTCCATGGCAAGCTTCAAGAGAGTTTGGTTGAGCTTGGGTGTACTCCTTAGGTGGTTAGGACAGCTGAAGAGGTTGTGAAGTTTGCCAATATGAGTTTGACAAGTTGTTTAGTCGGTTTGTACCAAGATTGACTCAAAGGGGTTAATTCTTGCATGACTGGAATGAGATTATCTTGCTTGATCTTGGCTAGGGAATTGAAGATTGAAACATCAATGTGGATTGAAAATTTGAAATATGCGAGTTTTAGAGCTCCTACAAATAGTATCTACTGAAGCTTCATGATTTAGATTTAGGCAAGAATTGCCTAGAAGGAATTTAGTTTGAAATTTTCAGCGAGGAAGACAAAAAATGACTTACACCTATCCCAAAGGTCAAAAGGATGAAAGAGGCTGCCAAGAAGGACTCACACCAATCCTGTAAATGAAAGCTAAGAAAGGCTGTCAAAGAGGACTTACATTAATCCCAAAAAAGAAAACTAGGAAATACTGCCATTGATAACCTCATGGGAGTTCTCGGGCAGGCTTCTGGTTGGAAGCCAAGGTGGTCTTTGACAGCTGAGGTAGCAAGGAGAGCTATAAAACCTCAAGGTAGTTCCTTCCACCCTCAATTTTCCATGGGGAGGGGAGAAACCTAAGTTTAGCAAAAGGGAAGTCCATCCTCTCCATTTCACCCTAGCTCGAAAATCCATTACAATCCACCCTAGCTCGAAAACCCTACCCAATACACATACACATCCCCACACTAAAACTTAACCCTATCCCTAGCTGAACATGCACATAAAAACACACACTAAAATGTATCTCTATTCCTTACCTGAAACCCAAGACCAACTCCTCACCCCACTTCACTACTTTCCCAAGCACAACACCTTACTAGCTAGTCTAACCCGAACCCCAAAAATTAATCGGTGTAGAAATAGTAACTAGTTATTGGGTATATAGATTAACTTTAATTCTTTTTTATTCAACTTTCTTAACAAGTGGTGTCAAAACTAATGATTTGTTTGAGATTAAATGGTTCATGCATTGTTTTTGTTCTCATTGGTATTGGCTAGTTTCTATCATAATTGTGCAAGGTTTGAGGCTGAGTAACTCTCAAGATGCTTCAATATGATTGAGTAGAATTTTGGTGCATAATAATTGATGATGTTGACAAACTTACTTTTAGGGAGAGTTATAGTTGATATAAAGAACTCTCAGATTATGAGGAGATTATTGATGCACGAGAGGTTTTAGTTTTATTCTATATTGAATAGTTGAAAAAGGGCTGGTGTAGAAATACCAACTGGTTTTTTGCACCCATAGGCTTAAAGTTTTGAATTGAAAACAACATTGCCCATAGGTGCAGTTAGTCTAATATTGATCCCCTTTGATTCATCTTTTCCAATTATCAGTAACGTACTAATTGAATTTATGCTTGATGTGGAAGAGTGTAGTTTCACTCATCCGAAGAAACACAAAAAAAAATCTTGACACATGAATGTTAACTTTACGAGTGAATGAGGAATTGTTTGAATATCTTCAAATCATTCCAGGGACTGGTGATTTTTTAAATTAATAAACAGCTTGATTTTAGCAATTTCCATGGTAATTTCGAAGCATATTCAATGATTATGGGTCGACTATGCATTTTTTGTAGTTCAGGGTTTGAAAATTGTTATTTAAGCTTCAAATGGACAGTTAGCTGCGTTGAATGGTTAAAGGGTGAACTGTTGGCTTCAATAAGATCCTTCTTTTTCTTGAAATTCATTCTTGAATTATTTTTGCATATTCCTTTGGACCAAGGGTATTAGCAGACAACAGATTTTGTTAAACTGGCTAGAAAATTGCAGAACATGTTTGTTCACCTGCAGCATTGACTGATGATGATTTTACCAAAAAGCAGGGCTTGACTCCTTATGAGAAGAAGAAGTATGTTTGGAAAATGCTTTATATCTACATGCTTGGTTATGATGTGGATTTTGGTCACATGGAGGCAGTCTCTTTGATATCTGCACCAAAGTATCCAGAGAAACAGGTATTTTATTGCTTATATTTGATGCCAATTATGGTGCTTATATATATATTTATAATTATTGGATTCACTGTTGTCTTAGTTGATTTTCTCATCAGTAACATATGTGTCATTCTTGTTCTCGATATTTGATAAATCTTTCTTGCGTTCATTGTTGTAAAAAAAAGAGGTTGAAAATAAATCTTAGCTGGATTCCAAATAAAACTAATTTTATTTATGTAGCTATCATCACCTTATGATTAAGGCTTTTTTGATAGAGCGTTTCTCTTATTTTGCTTTTGAAGAAGAAAAAAAAAACAGATTTTTGTTTATTCATTTTTTTTTATTTGAAAAGTCTCACCTTTAACATGCAGCCCATTTACCTTGAACTCTTAATTTATTTATCTACCCATAATATCAACTGAAGGATTGGTTATACTGATTAGAGCTATAGTAGGATTTTGATGAAATTAGTTCCTGTTGGATAGGGTATACCAGGCTGATCCTTGCATTTGTTTGTTCAACTTTGATTTGATTCTTCTTATTTGAGTTTGAGCATTACAGCTTGATAATTTTCATTTTATCAAGATCATGCTGCTTGAACTTAATCAAACTTGCTTAGATGGTGGTGGGATGTGTTTGATGTAGCCAAAATTATCTTTCTATTTAATATTTGCATCTTATTTTTAGTCTATCATGTTCAGATTGCTTGTGATCCAAAATCATTTTGCATTTTTTTAATCAGAAAATCTAAACCGATACTGCAAAGTGCAAAGCAAGAGAACAGATATATTATAAAATGTGATTTGAAGAAGTTGCCATTTATTTGCATCCTTAATTGTACGTGCCTTTTGCAGTGTCTAAAAGATGGAAACAAGATTTATTTATGAAATATAAGCCCATTACCTTATAAGCAATAGTATCTCTAATTAAAAAGCTTCAGCGAACATGTCTTCGAGATGGTAAGCATTTTTATAACCTTAAATAAAGAACAACTTATGATTGAACTGGTTATTGTGTGTCAGGCTTCCTAAATTTTGTTCATGCTTGCTAAAGCATTAAATAAAGTGGCTATAAATGTATCATAACCCAGGAGGGTTAATCTGTGCATTACACGGAAGAAGAAGACATCTTGATAAAAAATGGTTGTAACTCAACTTCTGCTATTTTACTTCTATCTGTAGAATAAACTAAGCTGACCGAGTTGCCACTTTCACAGTGGGTAAACAAAGAACACATTTACAGGGGGAAATTTTGATTTTCTTTGTTTGATTATATATGAACTGTAACATTCTTTAGATTTTAATGCGTGCTACAACAATTTATTAAACAAATTAGGTCATCATTTATGAGTTGAATCAGAATATATTAATCGTAATCAGAATATATTAATCGTTTATTTTTCTTTTTGTTATTCTTGGTTGAATATTGATCCAAATTTTCAACTTGGTTTTCGATGGTTATATGCAGATTTTGGTTACTTAACCGGTCAGCCATTAATATGACTTTTTTGCATCATTCTTAGGTGGGATACATTGTGACATCTTGCTTACTCAATGAAAACCATGACTTTCTCAGAATGGTTGTAAACACTGTTCGTAACGATATTGTTGGCCGCAATGAAACTTTCCAATGCTTGGCACTTACCATGGTATGCAATTGCTTTTATACGTTTCTTTTCTCATCTTTTGCAAAGCTATACTAATCTTTTGAAGGAACCTTTCATTTTATTTCATGGTTTTAGCTTCCCTAGTAATGCTGATTTCCTAATTTATTTTGTGGTTGATTTGAATTATTTTTTTAGGGGATGTTTGGATCAATGATTTTTTTTATTCATTTTTTGTTTTTTTTTTTGTGCTTTTTTTTTTGGTTTAACTTGTGAGATGCGATTTTCATGTGATGTGGATGGCATGAACATCACAAGTAGTGATGCCTAAGTATATCACCATGCATGCTCTTTGTACATCTGCTTAAATGCATCTGGATTCTAGATGTATGTCTGCATTAATTTCCTCAAAAGGTCGCCATGTGCATTTGCACAATTTTTTCATCTGGGACATGCACGCTTGCGTTCATGCTTGCATATATATACTAGTTAATAATATATGGCAAAATATTTTGTGCCCTCGCAACATAGGAATTTAAATTTGGCATTTTTGAACTTTATTTTACATGAATCTTTAAATACTAAATTCAACATTTAGGAAGAAAAGGCTGAGGAGTAAGCCATGCTCATACCTCGGAACTTGTTGCCACCTACAATTATAGATCTTAACCTTAATCATGGTAGGGTCACGGAAAGATGATGAGGTTGAGTAGAACTGTGAGTGGAATGTGGTCTATGGAAGATATGATGTCGAACAGAGTCGAATTGACTCTACGGTGCTGTTTTCACTTCAGATATATAAATCAGAGATGATTAATGAGTTGTACCAAGCATTGCCCTGTTCTAGTTTGGTTGGATGAGTAATAACTGAGATAAAGGGGAGTTCATCTGAAGTCAAGCTTGAAGATCCTTTGCATTCTTGTTTATGTACTTTCTAAGCTTGAGGTCATTTGAAGTTTTAATTAAGCTGGTTTAGTCATGCTGAAGCTTTAGATTGTTGTAGTTAAATGAAATTTTAGCTCAGTTAAGTTTCTCAGAAATCAGACATGGGATGTGTTGGTGAGGGACTAGCTCTGTTGAGTGAATGTCGCCGGGATCCTGAAAAGGCTGGCTGTTCTCAAAGATATGGCATTATTTAAGACATACTGCTATCACTAGTCACCAAATACAGCTTTTCCAATGGAGTGTATATTATATTAGATAGTCTCATTAGGGTTTAGGGTGACAAATTTTTAATATTTGTGCTGTTAAGTAAATTCGAAATGTTCGCTTTTAGAATCTTATCAAAGTATTTAAATAATATACCAGTGGGCAAGACGGTTGAGTGTCATTGTCATTTGTTTCCATAGGTGAGGCTAAGGGCTTTGAATCTCCCCAGCAGCGTTTCTATTAACATAAATAAGCATCCTAACTTATTCTGGAGATGTTTTTATGTGTTTTCCTTTCAATGTGCTTTCATACTTCTCCAATGAACTTTAAATGGAAAAAATTCTGATGCACACTCGCTTACTGATATCATGGGGAGAGTCTGGGTTTTCTCTTGTTTTTACCACTAGAGAAACACTTTTTTTGGTCTCTTTTAGGCTTTCATTGCATGTTTACCTTGTAATTGATTCACCAAAAGGATACAATTGATATGCTACTGATTCAAAGCTCATCTATTATGTTGGCCTATGTTTACTTTGTTTGTTTGTGATATACTTGCCGTTGTTTTGTTAATGTATATTTAATTGACATGACGTGTTTTTGAAGTGCTAACTGCTTGGCAGGTGATATTGAGTGCTTTATTGTGTATCATGCTGTGATGATTACTTGGGTTGTAAGCTTTGCCTGGATACTTTGAAACACATAATTGTTCTCATAGCATAAAGTGTGACCTTTTGGGGCAATCTCGAACTAGCCACCAGGTCACTATTTCATTGCCTTGTATGTCTGGTTAATGTTTGGCTGGCAGAAGTAAGTGAAAATGGCGTGGGAGATTATAATGCACCTTTTCCTTTCTCAACCGTTACCTACTATGATAAATTGGTATCGATATAGCCAACTGCACCTTGATAGAGATATATTGCTTTACCGACTGCTCATAGATGGTTAGGAGATATAGACATTCATATAATATATGTGTAGAGCGTTAAGGATTGATAGTGACCACAAGGAAGAGAAAAACAGGGAGAGAATATATTGGGGCAGTGGAATTCAAACTGCTTTTCAATGTTGGAGATATGATGGTTATTTATCAATTCCTAATTTTATCCATTTCCTGTCAGTTTATTTATATAGTCTCCCATCTGAATTCACACTGAGTGTTTATTTCACCTGTTCATTGGTTAGATGAACGGATACATACCTATTCTCTTCCTCTTTGTACACACCTTTTAGCGCTGCCTACATCTATTGTCCTTCATTTTATCAATGCTTTTAAGAAGGAAGATCTGTAACTGAGGGATTTTTGTAGGCGAGTTTTGAAAATAATCATGCCATTGCCATTGAGAAGAGAACTGGAAAGCGGAGGCAAAATGCTAAACTGGCCTTGGTAGCAGCTAGTGGCTGCATCCCATGACGGATTGCATAATGAATTCTGAATCTCAGTTAGATATGCCTATGGCTTTGCAATTTCATCGTCAGCATTAGTGTCAGCCTCATCTTGGTAGTTTAGCTTTGGCTTTAGTTTATGTTACTGGTGCTAAGGCTTCTTTCTTGAGAAATTTACATGATAATCCTGTTCCCCAATGCCCCACGTAGTAAGGCTTCTTTTTAGAGAAAGTTACATACATACCACACAATTCCTATGTATTTATATATTTAACACCTAAAGTTTGACATTTATATTTATAACACTTTGGTGCTGAAAACTTATGCATGAAAAGGTATTTTTAACTTTTTAAAGGTTAGTAATAGTTGTAATTTTTATTTAATGTCAAATATTTAAGTGTTATATATATATAAATATATAGGAACTGTGTCGTATGTACATACATAAATGCCCCTTTTCGATTTTTTGTTATATAAACAACTAATTTATGAAAATTCAAATTATTCTGAGGTATATATATATGTATGTATGTATGAAGTGTAGGTGTTAGAGATGTAAATATATAAGAATTGTATGGTATGTTATGTTAATGCTGCCCCCCTTTTTATTGTCGTACATGCTCAAACTCATCAGGCTTTTTTTTTTTAAACGTTTTACTTGGTTGCATGTATGGATTTAATGATTTTATTTTTCTAACTAGTGCAATTTGGACGAAGAAACCATATAGTTTTGCTATTATGTAGTTGTTGACCTCATTTTGAGGTCATTACTCTTTTCCTTAGGATTCTAGAATCTAGCTTTAGGGATTCCTATTGACTATCTTAGAGAAATAGTATTGAAATTCATCCCCTTAGAAATTCCAGCAACTTCCTATTTCTCTTATGATGTCTCACATTGATGATCTCAAAACTATCGTCGTATGGTCGAGTGGTTAAGGATTATCATGTAGAGACTCAGGGAGACGTTCTCAATAAAATTTCAAGCCCTAGGAAAACCTCTTCAGCACTTTATCATCACACACACACAAAATACACAAAATTCACTAAGTTGCACAAGATCGGACTAAAGTTGAACATAAATGATGGATGAAAATGCGAACTTCTTCGGACGACATCCGATAAATTTTAGCTAGAAAAGTTGAACCAAAAAGGGGAGGGCTGAGGTTTTCGCTAGTTGCTGTTCAAAGCTTTTAGGAGGAGAGGGCTCTGCCGAAGTTCTTTCTCTGCTAGGTTCTTGTGTGCTGGGTGTTTGGAAGCTTGGCGTCTTTTCTTTTGTTTTCTTTTAGGAAATCTCAAGCAAGATATTTATCCCTTCTCTTCTCTGTTCTGTTGCCCTGCTCGACACATATTGGAGATGTTAAAATAGAGAATGCATACATGAGGCTTTGTTTTATCTTAACTAGTATTTTGTAATGACATTGATATCATGCATTGGGCCTTTAATATTTTTATTGGATCTGATTTAGTAGTTCTATGTTGATTAGTTGAAATAGCAGTTTAGGGAAAGCATGTTTGGATCCATTGTCACATGTAAATCTTCTTCTTACGCTTTTATTATTTCTATATTTGTATGCAGAAAGCTGTAGCCTTCTTTCTTTTCTCCCCGTTGAATCAATTTATTGTTAAAGGAAGAGTAATTTTAGGGGAAATGATTGCTTGCATTTCTTTTCTGCTCGAAATGCTTGGGAAGACACAGTTATGAACTCTGAATCGATATTTGTATGAACTCTGAATATTAACTCTGAATCGATATTTGCTCATCTAGAATTCAGGCTGAAAATAAAATATTGATGTTTTTTATTATTGTCATTCCTGTCCAGATAAATGCTGAAAGTTCTGTACTGATTTTTCCCATTTGGTTGGTTCGATTTTGACTCCTTCTAAGCTGAATTTTAGCTGAAAGTTCTATACGGTTTTGCCCCTGTCCTGGGCTTGGTTTTGCCTCGAAATTATTTTGTTTTTTGCCCCTTTCCTGGGCTAGGTTTGGCATGAGATTTGGGCCCGATTTTGCTTTGAAATGGTTCAGTTTTTGCCCCTTGTGCTGGGCCTAATTTTGTCTCGTGACGGCTGGGTTTTAGTTACCTATTGGGTTAGACATTACTTTTGGACTCGCCCTGTGTTGAACATATTTGAGGCATGTTTTTTTTGCTGTTATCTTTCATGCCTTTTACGATTGGAATACTTAAACAACTGAAATTTGGTTTCTAAGACTCTTGGTAGTTGCTTTGCGTCCTGTTTTGCTCCTTACAGTTGCTGATGTCTTTTGAGAGCTTTTAAAATTTATTTCAGGAAGTCTTACTTTTGTTCCTGGTTTCTTCCTCTGTTCGAAACACCTGCAGTTGAAAATGTGAGATTTTTTAAGTTTTTGGGGCTTGCTTTGTGGCCCTGTGTTGCTTTTCCTGGCCTTGAGCCTTTCGGTTGTGAACTTTCTTTTGTTGGGTTGGGAGCTTATATCTTAAATGGCTGTTGATTTCCCTTGGTTGTCCCTGACTGTGTGCCTCCATGCTGTAATTTCCTGTTGCTTACTCTTACTCGTGAGCATCCCTATTGTGTCATTAGTTGGTGACTTTCCCTCTTTGGCTACCCTTACCTGTGAACTGGTAAATGGTGTTCTGGGATGGTGTTTTCTCTGGCTGCTTCCACCCAAGAGCACCTAATTGGGATTCCCCTTATACTGGGCTCGGTTTGGCTTAAAATTAAGCTCAGTTTGGTGGAAATCATGTTATGTTCTTGGCTCTCTTTTGCTAGGTTTAATTGAGCTGAAATTGTGTCTTACTTTGTCACTATGTTGGCTCGGTTTGCCCCCTGTGCTAGGTTCGGTTTGCTTGTCATTGGTTTTCCATCTTGTCCCTTTGCTGGTCTCGGTCTACCTTTTTACGGCTCTCTGTTTTATCCTTCTCGTGGGGCTCGGTTTGCTTGAGCTATTAGGCTGTTGCTCTTCTTGCGGGGCTCGGTTTTAACTGGAGATTCTCCAGATAGCACACCTTCTGGGATTGTTATTAATAATCAAGTTTGTCATCCAAAAAATTATGATTTCAATATGTGCTTCTATGTGGGAATGTTTGATATAAGCATACCAACTTACTATCATGTCTTATTTGATGAAAATGGTTTCAATTCGAATGATTTAGAAGAGTTTGTTCATTCACTCTCTTATGTATATCAAAAGAGTATAATGGCAATATATGTGGTGGCTTCTCCTCCGATAATACCTGTTGGTTGGTTGTGTGAGCTGCTGCCCTTACCCGAGAGCATCCACGTGGTTCTCTTTTATTTTGTTTAGTTGTTCCCTGTTTCCCCCTTACTGTGAAGCTGGTTTGGTGGTTTTGGTGCTGCCTTTACCCGTGAACATCCTAATTGGGCTCCTTTGTCCTGTTTGGCTGTTCTCTGCTGCCCTTACCCGTGAACATCCTAATTGGTTTTCTTTTGTCCTGTTTGGCTGTTCTTTGTTTCCCCTGGACGTGAGCCTTACTGTTGTGGTTTTCTGGTTTATGTCGTGGTTGGTTTGGGCCTGGTTGTCTCCTTGCTGCCCCTACCTGTGAGATTTTTTTTTTTGTCCCTTCCTGGCCTTACCCTTGAGCCTGTTGAGGATTATTCAGGCTCATTTTGCCCTGGCCGTGAGCACTTCTATATTTTCTAAATTGGTGTTACATTTATACAATTGTGAAAAGCTTTTAACAAAGGGGTGGAAAGGGGTGGAATTGAATGGATTTTGGAATTGAATGGATTTGATATTGACATGTTTTTTTTAGATTTAGAAAGTTGCTCTCTTTGGATTATTCTCATTTACTTTGTGAAATATGAAAGACTCTTATAGCTTCATATCGGGAAATCATAAAAATGATATAAATTGGATTCGTGAAAGGATTAGAAAACTCATAAAATTATCAGTTGGAAAAGAGTTTGGAGGTTCGACATTAAAACTTGGATAACATAAATGCCACACATGGGTTCAAGCTTTGGTGTGTGAGTACATATTGGTGGTGGAGCCGTGGGTACAATTGTCTTATTAGTTTTGGGTCTGTTTCGACCTGTTTGAAAAAAAATTTGGAGGGGATATTCTTCTTGGGTTCATCCAATTATAAAATTTGAGAAAATGATATCCTTCTTGGATTGATTCAAAAAACTTGGGTCTTCCTTTTTCAGATCTTTTTTTGTTACAAGTTTTGAGGGTTGATTCACCCTTCGTCTTTTTCGATCTTTTGGGTGGATCAATTCCTCCTCTCTCATCGCTATTTTCATTCTTTTCTTCCTTTCTTCTTGGTTCGATTTTCGGTGCTTATGTCCGACACATAAGTGCCCATATACGAAACCATCAAACAAAGTCACAAGTAGGTCGGTTTTGTTTTGAGGCTTAGGGCGATGATGACAAAGACACGCTGACGGTAGGGCAGAATGATATTTCATCCTACGACATCAGGACCCAATCTTGGGACCCGATAAATTGTAGGATGATATTATCATTCACCGACACAAGACTAGCGAGAGACTCGTACTTGCTTAGGTTGTTGGCGGTCCTACGCCCGACGGCGTAATCGATTCGTGGACAATCGTAATTTTCAAAAACTGATAAGGACAGATCATGATAAGAACATATATAATATTTATAAAAAAATATTTTACTACAAAATTGATGCAACTTCCTTTTGTATGCATGGAATCCACGTGCATGCTAAAATATAATTTTTTTTAAATATATTACAACTTGATTTTCCACTTGTTGATTACCAGTACCGGACTAAGGAGTACCCTCCTAAGTTAGGTTTAGTGGGACACCCTTCTAGTTGAGTGGCAGACTCTATACATCTGGGTGACCGATAGTAGCCTTCGACGTCCCCCTTTTTTCGTCTTTTTTGCATGTCGTATGTTTTATTGAAATTTTTGGGCAAAGCACTCACTGTGCTTTTTCCGGGATCTTCCCGTGATTTTGATAAATTTATTGAAATTGTCATTTGTCGATTTTCCTGAGTTTTCCGTCACGGGCCATTTGTCGATTTTCTTGAGTTTTCTAGTAAATGTTTCTTTTATTTATATAATAAATACTAGCTCGCTTAAAGGAGCAGCAAACCTCCCTGATATATAGGTTTGATTTACATTACAACATTTTACTTCACAGTATACTATATTGTTCTTCTTATTTACTGTTCATTCTATTGTTCTTTTCTTTTATACTGTATGTTTTATTGTTCTGTTACGCACTATACCTTAGTGTAGGAAAACCTAATGATTACATGTACCTTTAAAATAAATATCGAATCTGAAGGTGCTACAACAGGGAGGTTGGAGCGAACATCGTGGGCAGCACGACGAGGACACACAGAAAAACAACTTCGAGTGGATCTGCAACATCAAAATAAGTCCACGACAACTAAACATTTTTCTTAGTTTAAATAAGAACCCATAGGACTTCGAGATGGTTTGCTTAGCACAACGTAAATTCTCACATTATCTTTAGGCTTTTGTACAGCTCTGTTGTGCAATTATAAGTCCTAACACTTTTAAGATTCCGAGGTTACCGTACGGTACCGTGTAAATACTCTTATTCTTTTAGGCTATTTGTACGATCAAATATCATGCGAATGTAAGTCCTAAATTCTAAAATAAATTGCAGGATTAAACATTGAATAACAATATTTCAAAGACATAAAGCAAAACAATAGAATAGTTGAGAAATCATCGGGGTTTCCCCTGGATCTGTGATATCTCATACTCTTTGCTCCTTTGGATTCCCTAAAATAACTGTTTCTATTTGAGCCACTCCCGTTTGATTTTCCCGTGTCCAATCTTGGAAATCTAAGCTTTGAAATCTGGAAGGTAAAACCACTGATTTTAATCGAGAGTTTTCTTAAGTGACCCCAGTCATTTAAGATGTAATTAACTATAGGGGGCTTACTTCTATAGGGAACTTGAAACTCAGATAAAATAAAATCTATCTAATCTTTATATTAGGTAGCTGTTATTTGATTAGAAATTTACTGGCCATACATAAAAGTTTCGCAGACCAAACAGATGTCACAAACTCATTAGTTTAGATGGTTGAGCCTACTGTCAATTGGTATGTTTATCCTTCGGAGTAGTGTATTACTTGTGGTATCGCACTCATTTATCCAAACTATTCAATATCTGAGACTCGTTTAGTCTCATCTATTTTTTTTAAATTAAAGTGTTACTTTCAAAAATCATCTCCTTGAAAAAAAAAAAAAAAACGGCCGACAATTGCTTGTTCAGTTTCCCAGACAATCTAAACCTTAACATGTGTTGATTTTTGTCATTAGTATGCATTGTCACTAACAGTAATTTGATGCTTATTGCCTGTAGCGTATGTTTTGTTGACTTCTTAATAAATAGTGCATTTTTAGATGCATTACTTCAGGCTGTGATGGCTAATAGAGCACTTGACATTTATTGCCAATGATATGATTTTCTAAATTCTCATCCTTGAAATAAATCAGCTATGCTAATAAATTGGACAGCCCTCACTGAACCATGTATTGTTATTACGTAATATTATTACTAAACATTTTACGCTGATGCTTTGTTTCAGTTCATGGCAATATGGTGCATGTGCTACTGTATAAGAGAAATTTGGATATTTATTTTTTTTGCATGAAGCACTTTAGCTAGCGTTGCATTTACTTGGTTCAATCAAATCAATAAATAAGTTTTTATGGCCCATATTTCCTTAAAGTTGGTCAAATTAATTAACTAATTAGAATAAATAGAAAATCTATCAAATAAATTGAAGTAATCTTTTTTTTTTTCTTTAGGTAGGTAATATTGGTGGAAGAGAATTTGCAGAATCTCTGGCACCCGATGTGCAGAAACTTCTTGTAAGAGAAATTTTTATTTATTTTAATAATTTTCTTAATGATTTAATCTAGCCTGTTTTGTATTTCATTTAGGTTTCTAGTAGCTGTAGACCTCTTGTTCGGAAAAAGGCTGCACTTTGTCTTCTTCGCTTATTTAGAAAGAATCCTGACGTTGTTAATGTAGATGGATGGTATGCATTCCTTCTTTAAAAGCATTATAATGTAAGTTGTTTGATTTACAGCTGAATGATTTTATTTTATTTCTTTTATTTTCTTAGGTCGGATCGCATGGCACAACTTTTAGATGAACGCGATTTAGGTGTCTTAACTTCCTCCATGAGCCTTCTTGTGGCACTTGTATCAAATAATGCTGATGCATACTGGAATTGTGTTTCAAAATGTGTGAAGATCCTAGAGCGTTTGGCAAAAAATCATGATGTTCCGCAGGAGTACACCTATTATGGAATTCCTTCTCCCTGGCTTCAGGTTTGGTTATCCTTTTAGTGCCCTTTATTTTATTTTTGTTTTTGAAGCATCATCGTGTTAACCAGAAAATAAAGATATGATTAATTGATTGATTAATTAATTAATTAAAAAATAAAATCATGTGGATGCAATTTTGATATCTCTCTCGCCACATACGTCAACACAATTCTTGTAGTGACATCGCTAAGGTTACACCATTGCCCCCCTTCTTATCATGATTTTGAGTTTCTTTTTTCTCTCATACATCATGCTCTTGACTCTATTTCTTGCGCACATTTTACCTGCATGAAGAAACCAATGACTTTATATCCAATCACCCACACAATCGTCGGCTAAGGAACAAATATCAATTTTTGCAATCATTGCTTTCTTCTCTTTTACATTTGCCCAAATCTCAATTCAATGACCATCTTCTCTCTCGCTTGCTGCAAACCAACCATCGCTCTCCCTCTCTCAACACCTCCTCCACTAGCCACACATAATGCCTCTTTTGGCGACTTTTTCCCATTTTTATTTCTCTAACATTTTGCCCTTTCTATTGTTCCCAATATACAATAACTCTTTTTTTTTGCTCTAGCTTCTATAGCTCTTTTTCTCTCCCACTCTACTCTTTATTGTTTAACTCCCACATATATCCTCATAGAAGAGCCTTCAAGCGCTCAACATCATTGAGCTCAGTCTCTTAACGTCCATAGATCTAATGCATGGTAGCACTTGATCTCTGTTAGACATTGTGTTAGTGTTATGAGGAAGCCTAGCTTAAGGGAATTTTTTGTCTTTTGTACTCCTGAGTGCAATTTAGTCTTTTATTATTATTATTGTGGGTATAAATAAGTTTCTTATGTCTAGGGTTAGGTTTATGCAGAAAATTGTGCCTTGAGTCCTTAGATCTAGGGTTTGAGAGAAATTTCCTACCTCTCGAATTGTAGGAATTGGGAGAGACAACCAAACTCTTGAATCATAGGTTTTCATCTTTGTGTTCTTGTTGAGTTGTTTGGATTATTATAATAAAATTCGTGTTTGTCATAATTTCTGTGGAAAGACGTTTCAGTTTTGAAGTCGAATCATATTAAATTGGTATCAGAGCAAGATTCTGGGAAGAACCCACTAGATCGAAGGGATCCAACTATGAAAAAAATCAAAATACATACCGCTGTGCCTTTGTCCAGCGAGGAAGAAACGCACGACATCACGACTTGCTGTGAAACTAGTGATGGGATCAACATGGTCACAAGGATTGCGACACCTCCTTGCGATACAATTGTGATGTGGAGCTAGCGGCGTCGGGATCGAGTATACAGGTGTGGTTCAGATACTGTAGCAAGGTTCGCGTGATCATCCATGTGATATGGTCGTGATCACTGGAAGCAAACGGACGGATCGCGGCTACGGTGACCAAAACCAGGTCGAGGGGATCGTGGCAAAGAGAGACCCGAAACTCCCATTCTTCTCTTCCTTTCTCCTAGTCTATGCTGTTTCGTTGCGATCAATGCTAGTGGGGAAGGCAGCTGCAGGGTAAGTGACATACAGAGACATGAAACACCCATTCTTATCCTCTTGCATCGTCTCGTCACGGTCAAAGCTAGCGGGAAGGCAACAGCGGGGAAGCAGCGTACAAAGACCCAAAACTCTAGTTTTTTTCTCAATTTCTCGCAGTGTCCAAGCCTTACGACGACATCAGGGCTACAATGACACGATTCTAGTTATCGACCTTGTGCGAATTTGTGCTTTGTTTCACCGAAAAAGATTGCTGCTATTAATTTTAACTTATAAACGCCATTTCACGTACGAATATACTATATTTTAACTTACTTGTGCCGACACTATTGAGATCGGCAAAATAAGTTGTAGTGATACGGATTCGCAAGTCAATTGATAGGATTTTTGTATGCAGGTGTTTTTGTGCTTTGTGATTAATTTTTTTTTTAGGGAGTGATGATAGCAAAAAAATGAATGACTTCGAGAAAAAGTTGGAGGAAGAGATCAACAAATTCAAATCTGAGATGGAAGAAATGTTCTTGATACCAGAGTTAGCCCAAACCACAACACAAGAAACAAATTTTATTAATAACTTGAAAGACATAAATCACATAAAGCAAACAATATAACAAAACTCAACAACAAAAGACACGAGCTGAACGAGGAGAGTCCTGAACTGTGGTACTGGCGTGGCTGTTGAAGCCAAGGAGCGGAGTCACAAAGAGTGGCTGGAGCCGAGGAGTGGAGGTACGTCGGGCGGCTGAAACCGAGGAGTGGAGGCACAAAGGGTGGCCAGAAGTTGAGAGGAGGCACATCGGGCTGCCGGAGCCGAGGAGCGGAGGCACGAGGACGACTGGAGCCGAGGAGCAGAGGCACGTCAGACGACTGAAGCCGAGAAATGGAGGCACGAGGACGGCTAACGCCGAGGAGCGGAAGCAGTGGCTGCAAGCGCTTGGACCGGTCGGAAGTGGCATCCATCTGCTATGAGGGAGGCGACAAAGTGGCTGCGGACTGCAAGAAGATGGCAGAAAAGGGTTGGAGGCGTTGGGGAAGCTTGAGGGAGACGGTGGCTTGCTGTGTGAGTGGCGACAGACGCTGCAACGACCTACAAGGAAGCTGCAGGGTGGGATAGCCTACAGGAGGCAACAGGAAGTTGCGACAGCCTACAGGAGGCTGTGCAACATTAGTAGCAATAGGGCACAAATCCAGGGGCAGCAAACTGTTGTGGGGAATTCCAAGGTGGCCATCAGTTGGCTGATGGAATACCTGGGAGGTGGGAGAAGGTGCGACACAATCTGCAAGGAAGTTGTAGATTTGCTGTTTGGGCGGACAGCAGGGAGGAAGAGGGCGGCCTGTGGGACTACGAATAGCAGTAGGAATGCGAAGATAAACACCACTTCGGGCAGAGTTACAGCCGGAGCACACTTGTTGTCAGATATAACCCTCGAAAGGGAAAATATTCAAGCAAATCTGAAATCAGATTTCAAAACAAAGACCCTCTTTTCATAGACATAGGACTCCTATTTATAAAAGAAACTTTACTCAATTAGAAACACTAAAATAAACAATAGAATAAAATCAGATATCAGAAAATAGGGCTAGAAATAAAATTAGATGTTAGAGTCAATGCAAAGGTTTTGAGTTAAGGAAAGATAATAAAATCAGGATCTAGGTTTTAGGAAGGATGTAAATTAGGAAAGCCTAGGAAGAAAATAGAAAGAGGAAGAAAGGAAAGCAAGGGGAGGAAGGAGGAGTGGCGGGGCTCCCCTGCAAGGGTCTGCAGGTCTGGCCCCCCCTCTAAGGGTCGTTCGATCCAACGCCCTCCTACTGAGCCCTGCGTCAGTTCATCACCATAGAAAATGTTTTCTTCCATAGAAAATTGAATGGAGGACGGATTCGAGTGCTTAAGGGAAATGCAAGAAATGATGAAGTAGATTAGTTTCACACAAAACCGGCTCCGTTGGACACGGGGTTGAGAGAGGATGTTGGAAACAAACTCCAGCAGCAACAACCACAAGGATTTGCACGACAGGAGGGTGATATCACAACTTTTGGCGGATCACGAGGAAAGGAAAACCGGAGTGGACTCAAGCGACACTTTGAATAAATAATACAACATTCAAATGGTTTGGACAAACAAAATTAAGTTGGATCGAAGTTGACAGAGATGGAGTCCACACTGGTAGATGTCTGGTATGTTAAGTTAAATAGGCTTTTTATGTCTAGGATTAGGTTTATGCAGAAGATTGTGTATTGAGTCCTTAGGTATAGGGTCTGGGAGTGATTTCCTTCCTCTCGAAGTGTAGGAATTGGGAGAGATCGCCTTACTCTCGAATTGTAGGTGTTTATCTTTGTGTTCTTGTTGAGTTGTTTGGATTATTACAATAAAATTCTTGTTTGTCCTAATTTCTTTGGAAATAAGTTTCGATTTTGATGTCGAATCATATTTGTAAGGTGAACCCTTTGCCAAAAATCTTGTAAACTTTGAATAATATATGATATTCATTTTGATTGGTTTGAAGACAATGTTGTTAATTTTTTATTTGTTCGATATTTTGAAGGTCTCGGCTTTGTTGATATGGATAGACTTCAAAAACCTTTGCTTCATTGCTTTTTGTTTGGCTTGGTTAAAATTATGTCCCCTGACCCCCTCTAATGATTTTTTATGTGAGTTCATAGAGATAAATGTTCGGCTTCGACGATCATGCTTAACCTAAACCAAACCTTATACTTGTTGGGTAGTGCCACTTCAACATTGGCAACATGCTCATGAACTCCAATAAAAGGTTGACAGGATGTTTTCTTCATTGACATTATTGATTAGAATGAAAACACTGATAAAATGCTTCTACTTAAAACTTAGATCGAAGAAAAACAAAACTCATAATAATATACACAAATTATAAATCTTTTAGATTAAAATCAATCGTTATATTCAAAATACTTGAGTTTGGTGGATTCCATTGTAGACCATGGATTACTTTAGGTAAACTTAACTATGATGCCACTTGAAACATAGAAATATGCACATAAACACCAAGTATGTGTTGGGACATTGATAGTAATGCTGTTGCATTCAGAAGCATATGTCATAAGATGTTTATGGAGCACTATAATAAAACTAATATGTCAATAAGCTAAAAGATGTGTTGATGGATAGATAGAGGTGTTGATAATTCTTTAAATATATGCTCAAATAACATGAAATATACTATGGATTGATTATAAATGGCTCACAAAGGGATTGGTAATCCCAATGTTAGAATCATGACATCTACCAGTGTTGATCAAGTGTATGCTCTGAAGTGCTTGGTGAGTAGATTTAATTACATTCACTGGTTGATGTATGGTATGTTAAGTTAAAACTGTTGCTGGGCTTGAGGCTGTAAGTTTCGCTTATGAACTCAGCACTGGATGTAATCCCCAACACGAAGTAAACTTGGGCTATATTTTATTGTTAACATGCCCATCAATCAAATGTTTTTGGTAAGTATCAACCTTTTTCCTAGCTATGAATGACATCTTTTTGTATAGAATGTGCTTATTTAACATGCCTTTGACAACATAAAACAATAGTTGTTGTATCCCACAACTCTTGCGGCACTAATCCTAGGAAGATTGCCTTAGAAGAGCCGCTCAAAACATTACTTGCTCAAATATTGAAGATTAGGAAGAAAACAATATTATATTAGTTGATGAAGGACTTATTTTTTGAGTAGTGCTTGACACTGATCTTTGTGCACCAACACTTCTCCATGATATATTGGTCCATAAGAACTCCAATATCTAAAGGGGACACACTCAACTTATACCCCACATTAGCTAGTCTTTTGGTTGGATGGGTATTGGTGTTGTTTCAAATCAACATCATGTACATCCTACAAAAGGTTGTTAATGGGCAAGCCTCTTCCCATAGACTCGCTGCTTAATGATAAACTACCAAAGGAGCAGGTTCTTAGCAAGAAGATAAACAATCTCCATAATGGAAGCTCTATTTGAAAGGAACTTTGTTGATATGTTTAGTTAAATCACCAAATCTATCAACAATGTGGATTTGGTTGGTTTTATTTTCATGGTATCACATGGAGATATACATTGATATTTTTATGGCTTATTAGAACTTTGGATAAATAATAAGACCGAATATGAAGTCCTACTAATTTTCATTGACTTAGGGTCCGTTTGGGGCAGCTTATTTGGTGCGGTGGAGTTTTGAAAACGCACCTGACCTGTTTGGGTAAACTGTATTTTTGACACAGCTTATGCATTTTCAAAGTGCTGAAAACAACGTTTTCACACCGCACCTATTCTGGTGAGGTGGCAGGTGCGGTGACAACTTTCTGGCAGCAGACTGACTTTTCCAAAAAATTTAAAAATTGTAACAACCACAACACGTAGCTTATCAAAAGATTATTTTTAATCAGTTTATCAGCAGATTATGCAATAAGCTGCAGCTGCCCCAACCCTTAAAATAAGAATGAAAAGTAAGAAGCTCCTTATAGTGAAAAAATGAAGCAAACACATTCAATATTAACAAAGTTAAATTAGTCTTTTACCATAATGCTTTGAAACTTCTATGACAAACTTGCATATAACTTTCAGGAGAGTTAGAAATCATAAAAATGTTTAAACTTTTTTGCTAGCTAAATTAGCAAATGAATGAAGGGTCCTCATGAGGATCCACTCTTATTATTGTTCAAATAAGCATATATTAGGATTGAATCTAGGGGGCCCTAGCATTAAATGATGACGTTCCCTTGGGGGAAGCTTTAATCACTCTTAAGATTGGTAGACTACTTAGGTATGAGTTTGTTTTGCAAGCCACATTGGCCTAGGGATTGAGAGCTCTGTCTTTCAACCATGAGGTCTTGGTTTCAAATTTTTGTATATACAATGTCCGTAACTTAGCGCGTGTGCGCCAAAAAATAGTTTGTTGTTTCTCAAATATTGCAAAGAGTTTTACAGCATGCATTTGTGAATGATACACTACATTTTGTATTAGTTGACCATGGTGGGCTTTGATGCCTCGATTCTAATGAAGTTAATGTAATGTTTGAAGTGCATGAGAGGCTATTTGATGCACACTAATTCAACCTAAAAATTAATATCAAATTCAAACTTATGTGGTATTAGTGGCTCAATCTAGTTCAACATTTCACCAGAAATATAGAGAAGTGCCAACACTGCACAGTTCATAGAAATACTCTCCATCAACCACTTAACCCTCTACACTGTATGGTAGCATTCTAACCATTCAAGAATCAAGGCTGACTCATTCAATCCTATATATTCTTCATCTTCTCAACATTTTGAATTATCATCATTTTGATTGATTAGTATGCAAAGTGAATTGAGGAGGTTCCAATATAGGAAGTTAAGGTCAACAAGATGAGATCACATTGCCTATCTATTTGGAGCTCTGCACCGAATCATATTAGAGAATGACAATGTCTTAAAGCTCTAAAATTTATTAAATAGATGGACGACATATAATAGGTTGGTGTTACTACTTCATATACAATTCAAGAGCTAGTACTTAATTTATAATTCAAGAGCTAATGCTTTGGTTGAAAGATATTTAATAAGGTTTTGGTTAATTTACAAAAGAAAATTCTCTCTCTATCTCAAAAAGAAACAAAAAAAAAAGAGAATGATATGACAACCCAACATAAGCTCTTGGGTTTATTATGCCATATATAATGTTGTCGCATATGCCACTACATACGTATTTTGGGGCATTGATATCTTTTTTCAAGCTATGTCTTTATTTCATATTGTCATCCAATATGCAAGAAGAAAACTCACGTGTAATGCTCTACGTCCTATGCGAACTTTAGCTTCAAGCCTAACAAAATTTAGAAAGCTTCAAGAGAAGGATGGCTTAATCCCATGATTGAACTGTTCTCCCTATAAACTTCGATGTAGCTGAATCATTCTTGGCTTTCCCTATCATTATATTGGCTATAAATTTGACCCAAATTAGGAAGGAGCTTTGATCGTTAAGAAGTGTGGAGGAAGTGCCTACCAATAAAATATCTTTGACCCAAATTAGAAAGGCCCTTTCATTATCAATTATATATTTTGTAGCTTTGATTGTCTTAAATATTTTAGTTTCTGTCTAATCTTTTCATATCATTTATTATGTTATCTTGCTGGTAACTCTCTTTTATAATTTATATAATCATACCATCTTAACTGTATTCTATTACTTTTTGTTTCAGCGGTGACTTCTTCCTAGCACTTCATTTCGAGCACATTTTTTTTAGTAACCTCATTGTTTTGTTCATTTAATTATTTTGGAGTTCTCTTCACTGCAATCCCTTGATCTATTAAATGCAGTCGCCTTTTGTTTTATTAAAAAGTAATAGATGACACTTTTTTTATCTGCACTTCATGATAAGAAGATTTGAAAGAATATAATTTTGTTACAGGTTGCAAAGTGGAAACTGTTAGCTTTTAGATTGGTGTATTTTTTTTTTTTTATCAACTCCTTTTGCTACATCTCTTTGTATATTGGAAATTGTTAATGGTCAAAATGTATACAACAATCTTCTATCAAATAAAATATGTTTTGTTTTTTTTGTTTTTTTAATATTTGGTTGAAATGGAATGGTGCAGGTTAAAACAATGAGAGCTCTCCAATATTTTCCTACTATTGAAGATCCAAATACTAGAAGATCCTTGTTTGAGGTATGATGGCTTTCTTCTAACGTTTGTGTTTGTAAAAGTTTAGCTTGTGCTACGCACTCTTTTTTTTTTTTGGTTTATCGGTAAGTTATTTTGTTGTTGTAGGTTCTTCAACGCATTTTGATGGGGACAGATGTTGTTAAAAATGTCAACAAAAATAACGCCTCACATGCAGTTCTTTTTGAAGCCCTTGCCCTGGTAAGTTTGCACCACTTGATTCTAGTATATCCAAGTTATAATGATTATTTGAGTTTGAATTTATTCTGCCCTATGAGACTAGGATGTCCGTGTTGGACCTAACATAAAACCTGAAATGAATAATCTGTCAAATTTCTCTTAGATTCGGGTGGTTCAGTTTGGATTTTCCTAATTGACTAAAAAAATCAGGTCAATTCCTGTTCAACCTTTAAATAATGACTTAAATGTCTTTTGTCTTGTTAGATAATTGTCTTCAGTTAGGGCCTGGTTGATACGTACTGTCGCAACTTAAATGTCTTTTGTCATGTTAGGTTGGGTTTGGGTTAGCTGAATCAGATTCGGGTTGGAATTTTTGAAGTGTTTGATAAACATGTTTGGGTTGGGTTGACTAAATTTGTGTTTTTGGTTTAGAATTGGATGGCCCATGAACTCAAATTGACACCCCTTTATGAGAGAGTACAATGGACTGTTAGAGTTGACAAATTGATCTACACGGCTTTTTTCTTGCAGAGAACATGAGCTGAGAACTATTGTTGGCTTTTATGTTTTTATTAAGGCATTAATTTTTTCTACATTTAATTGTATTTTTTTGATATCTCAGGACTATGTTCCATTTAACGGATTATGAGCTTTAATATTTATTGCATAGGACCTATATTTGAAGTCCACATGCTCTTTCTTGCTTACCAAAAAAGCTTCATAAGTTTTATTGGTAATGTAATACTATAAGGATAATAGAAATTCCAATCTAAGAAGCAAATTTTTTATGTGAAGTACAATGGCAATTTGCTGGACGTAGGATAAAATGCTCCTGGAGGAGCTTATACATTTTTCAGGCTATGAGGCCGAACCTCAAGCTATTTAAAAAAAAAAAAAGATTCTGTTATGTTACTGCTGTAATTACATGGTCCCGTAAGTTTTTAACTTCTATTGTGTTTCTTTAAAGCAGATTTTTTTACCCTACTGTGTGAATTATGCAGGTCAATAATTAGTTTGATGTACTGGACCTAAGTTAAGGAATTTGAGGGAATATTTCAGTATTGTCATTCTTATTTTTGGAGTGAATTTTGATTGTGCATCTGCTGTTGAATATATATAACTTTGCTGAAGTCTCAATGGGGGAGCAGCTGAGCGGTGGCATCTTATATTTGAAACGATTCTAACGAACAAACTCAAAATTATCTTTTTGAATTTTAAACATTATTTTCATATATATATTTTTATCAAAAATTCTATAGCTTGCCGTAGGGTTCCCCATACAGATTTATCATGATTCTTAATTTTATCAATCAATTTATTTGTTTATTGTGTAATAGCTTGCGTGCTTCTTAGGCTTATATTTTCAGTTTCAAGTGTTCATGCTTATGTTTTAGTCATATTTAGTATTTAATAGTATTACATCAGGAATTGGTGTAGTATATAATTTGTTCATGTTCCTACAGGTTATGCATCTAGATGCTGAAAGGGAGATGATGTCTCAATGTGTGGCTTTGCTTGGAAAATTTATCTCGGTTCGAGAACCAAATATTCGTTATCTTGGTCTTGTAAGTGTTGAGGAATGTTCATAGAATGATATATGGTTAATAATAAGTGGATGAGAGATTATAAGAATATCTGGGTCAAACTAAGATAATCTGGCTGTAACTATGCATGTAACTTCTATCTGGAGCAGGAAAATATGACAAGGATGCTGATGGTCACTGACGTGCAAGATGTAATCAAAAGGCATCAAGCACAGATTATTACTTCCTTAAAAGATCCTGATATAAGGTGATCCATTACCATTGTGCTAAACTTAGGTTGAATTATCTTGGAAAACATGCTTTTTTCATATTTCTCATCAGTTTTTACCTTCTAACTTTTTTTTCCTATGAAAGATCCTGGTAACTGTTAAAATTTACATCATGATATGACAAGTTGATATATCTATGCTGGCATGCATTATATACTTTAATTCAAATTAATCTATTGTTTTGTAGCTTCTACCTTTATATTTGGATTGGAGTGAGAAAATGGTCAATCTTCTTGCTTAAAATACTTGCTAAAGTAATAGGCTTAGCTTATAATACTTTATGGTAGGTTTAAATGTGAAAACTTTTATTGAATAATTTGAAGCAGGAAGATGAGCAAAAACTTGTCGGTGTTTAGAGTCAACGTTGATATTTACTACACAATTTATTTTATTATGAATAGATATCATATCTTCATTCTTTCGCTTATTAAGTCATTTTTGTTAACATGTGCTTGGTCATTTTGTATTTACTACACAGTTTCTTTTAAGGCAAATCATTTGTGAATAGACCGTCACTGAATGAATGTTTAAAACTAATTTCTAATTAATCATTGCTAATGTTTCACCACAATCGGTTCAAGTTATGACGCATTATTTTCAGGTGACATCCTAGCAATCTCTTGCTTTTTTTCATCTTAATTGGACTAAGTTGTGGTGTCATTTATGAGTATTACTTTAGTAAACTCTTACCTGTATCCTGCCACAATTGAGTTATCGTGTAATGCATTGTGTCTGCTGAATGCTCTAGCTCTAGTGAAATATAAATTTAAATTCATTTTTTTAGTTTAACATAGGTTTGTTGATTCATTTTTGACTTAAGATTGACCCACCCCTAAATTTGATCATGTCTTGGGACTTGGCGCAGCTTCAAACAATTTATATATCATCTATCATAATGCCCTGTGCATAATTGACTTTTGAAATGTAAAGGAATATGATAATATAAATAAGGCGAAAATAATGGTTGAAAATCTAGATGAAAAGCTGTAAAATTACTCTTTTGCTTTAATCAGAACACTATTGGAGATAACTGAAGTCATAAATTATTAATAATTTCAACTTATTCTACTAGAGTTTGGGTCGTTATTTTGGGCAGTCCATTTTTTATCTTTTCTCTTTTGTCGTGACCCAACATGAGAGCTTGAAATATTAAGACTAAAATATACGTTTGAGATCTGTTTAGAAACTATTGCTTTTAATAAAAGCTCATAAAAAATTATTATAATTTTTCTTCAAGAAATTATAAATTAAATATAGTTATTCCAATATTTAAAATTTTAAATACCTACTACTTGTGGTTCCACTTCTATTATATGTAAATTTTCTTATGTCACTCATTTAGTTGCTGAGATATTATTATGAAAATATTGTTTAAATACAATGATTGTCGTCATAACTTGATGTTGAACAATTGCGAAGAAATGCTTTATGATTGGAAGTTACAAGACTGAGTTTCCAAGACCCAAGGAATGCTATCAAAGACGAGTCCTAATGACTTGATAAAACCCACCCATGAAATCCTTACCGTACAAAATATCGGCAAAGAGGAATAAACTTCTTTGAAACATAAGGTGTGTTTTGTTTATGAATTGTTAACTACACCGAGATTAGAAATAAGCACCTAAAACTACAACATACAAATTAGCATCATATTGACTTAAGTATGCATCTCTATTCTTGTCCAAACAGCCATGTTCTGCTTGCTTCCAGGCTTACTCGTGAAATGCTCTGATTACCCTGCCTGGACTATGAGTCTTAGTTCTTCAACTTAAGATCACTTAAATGGTAGCGGGTTGAAAATTTAGCAATCTGTAGGGTACATGAAAGAGGAAAGTGTGGATCAAATACTCAAAGAAGAGATTCAAGTATAAATGAAAATATTTATGAAAAAGAATAGAGAACATGCTGTAGGCTTGCTTATTGATTTAAGAAATTAATAATTTATAGCCTTGCATTGGATTTGTCACTAGCAACATCTGGTTGCCCTTCCCGTGTTGCATGTCCCTTCATTGACCTTCCAATGACTGCCACAATCTTCAAAGAAATGAAGGTTTTCCCAGCAATCTATACAGAATTCAAAACAAGAAACAGAAGTTGATTCCTGTTGACTTACAGAGAAATTGAAGTTAAGGAATCAGGAAACAGATAACCTGGAATTAAGATCTTGCTGTAACTGCCATCTGCCTTATTACACCTTCTAAAAATCATTGAGACTTCAGGACTTTATGAAGAATTGGATCCCGAAATCTTTATTGAAGTTGACGGCTAAACTACTCTGTCCCATAGAAGAAACTAGAAATCTCTTGCTCTTTTTGTATGCAGCCCGCTCAGTTCATGCTTCTTCCTGCT